CATTCAATCCCCTTAGCCGTCCTTGTTCGTTTTAGGCTTAATAATACCTCTTTGATATTTCTTTAAGCTAACAGGTTATGATTTTGGATTTTCTTTGTACTGGAAGAATGTTCTACGTTATAAAGGTGACTTCAAACAGCCCGTTCAAAATGCCCTACAGAAACTTCGCCATAGGACTGATGATTTTACACCCTGTTGCAATATGTTGCAGGGTTCAACGGGGTAGCCAAACGTGTGCAACATGTTAGGCGATACAATGTTGAAATATACTGTGTTGAAATGATGCGCACGTTTAGTCGGGCCTTTGAATCTTTCAAGCCTTACTTTGGAACCTGAAATGGCCTTAAATCGCCTTAAATCTCCCGAAATAACAGTAATTTGGGCGCCCGAGTAGGGACTATTTCAGTTGTTTCGTGAAAGAAAAACTGATATTGTAATTTAACTAGAAATTCATGCGCTCGTACGCCTAAGTATGGATTTCGCTGAAAGTGTAATTTCATTCGCTAATCTAACCTGTCATGTGGAATTTTCGCTGTGGTGGATGGCTCTCCAGTTGAGGTTTCCGGGTGAGTTGTCGATGGAACGTTACTTTCCTTGTCAACTAACAACGAACCAAACGAAAAAGTCAAGTCATGCACTGAACGGAGTGGTTTGAAAAAGACCGCAAGTCAGGGCTCACGAAAAGTGCGGTCCGGTCGGACAATTCGATTTTCCTGCGGGACAAGTAACTTTTCATGTCCACTTGCACTAATGTTTTTGCAACGTTGAACAACTTAAGTCTAACTTTTAATCAATCTCCGACAGCTACATTCGCATTAAGTAAAGGAATAACAGAATAAGCTATTTGTTCGTAACTTCAAACGAAAAAACAATTGTTTCGATATCAAAAGAAAAAACACTTACTACCACCAATGGGTGAAGAACAGTGCATTCGTTAAAGTTCAAATGGCAACCGTCAAATGTTGACTTTCATAACAACAACATGCTCGACAGGCACAGGCCCAGAGAAGTCATTTGCCAGTCAAGTCATAAAAAAAAGAAAACAACAACAACAACAACAAAAAACAAGCATGCATGCACCTACCACGGGCAAGCGAAATTTGACAGTTACTTGTCTGGAGGACGAGCTTGAATTCAAATTATTTTTTCCGAGCACTAACAAGGGTGATAAAATCAAAGCCAGGGCGATTACAATGACCAACTCGACTAATGTAAACACGCTACCGGTGCCAAGCGCGCACCTCCAAAAAATCTCAAACCGTAGTAAAACCGAAAACCAAAACCAAAGGAAATTGCCTCATTACTTTCGACAGTCAATTGCCCTTTTGCCTGACGACATCAGACAAACAAAATTTCACTACCAAGCCTCGCTTTGAAATTGCAAATTGCAAATTTTATCGTGGACAAATTCCCAAAGCAGCAAAAATGAAAAGAATAACCTCCCGAAACAACACGATGACACCTGAGGTTTGAGAAAATTTCTCGGCGTAAACGAGGTTTGATGGTGCATTTTGAGCGTGTGGCGTAATCATGCATAAGACCTATTGAAAGCCGTTAGAAACGGCACGAGTTATCAGTTTTTACAGCGGTTTTCACTTGAGTGTCGAAAGTAACCCGTATTTGCTTTGGTTTTGTATTTTTACGCTACACGACTGGCTTAAAAAAGAATCGCGCCACTTTGTCATCCAATCAGAACCAACACTACACTATCGAGGGCAGTAGCTCCCGAGATATTTTGTGAGCGAAAGATTTAACAAATTTCAACACAAGTAAGGACACGATCGAGAACTAGACGTGTTGGCAAACAAAAATAGCACAATTTACAAGTATGGAATAAGGTGGCAAAAAAAATTAGACCCTATAAAATCGCTTGTTACAAACCATTATTAGATCACGAAACGTTCGCACCTCTTAGCAAGGCGACAAAACAGTGACAGACATTGTCTGAAAACATCAAGTTGGAAGGATGGCTTTCTTTTATCATCTGTCTACGATCTGTACATAAACGTACCAGCTTTTACAGCTTTTAGAAAACTGTGAGGGTGGAAACTAGTTAAAACTGTAATGCTAGGCTTCCCCGAACAGAAGACAAAATTACGTTTATAAGAAATCTTGTGCTGACAAAAAGGGTCAAAAAGATCTTTACGCAGTCTAATTGTCAATCTAATTGTCAAACTTTCCTCTCTCTCTCTCTCTCAACGACAAGAAAGGCAAAGGAGAGAGAGTCTGTGACCGAGGTTGTTGTAAACTGACGAATGAGTGATAAGAATACAAAAAATAATCATCAACGGCCTCACTATTGACTAATCACCAACTTCTCAGAACTGGCATTAAAAGGAATGTATGGCAAGTGGTAAGGAGACTCAATTTTTCGATCAAGAAAAGGGAACACTTACGTTTCAAAACGGTGACATTTATTGGCGCGTACTGTGGAGGTGGAGTGATCTTCACCAACGAGCACGACTCCAAGGAATGGCATTTGACACAGAAACAGTAGCTAAAGAAAACAAAATGGGGCGCGTTTANTGGTGAATTTTGAGCATGTGGCGTAATCATGCATAAGACCTATTGAAAGCCGTTAGAAACGGCACGAGTTATCAGTTTTTACAGCGGTTTTCACTTGAGTGTCGAAAGTAACCCGTATTTACTTTGGTTTTGTATTTTTACGCTACACGACTGGCTTAAAAAGAATCGCACCACTTTGTCATCCAAAAATCAACCGAGACTCGCTCGCGCACGGTTTGCCGCGCTTTGTGTTAGCTGTACAAGTTTACTTGTAATTTTGATTAATTCACCGCATTATCTTTGTAATTTGTGATTGGTCAGAGAGACTACTTTGGTTTTGGTTTTACTCAATTAAAACCGCTCTAAATCAATCACAAAATGATGTAAAGCAAAACAATTCCGGATTGCCCTCGAGACTCAACTGAAAACCGTACTTAACTCTTCCAGAACATAAACATTATAAAGCCGGTAACCTCGCAGAATGGAGAGGGTGACGGAAATGAGAAGGGGAGAATTTGAATCTTACTGTTGGGCTTTTTGGCAGCTGGTTCTCCTGAATCCTCCTCAATCCGTTTACTTTTCTGATTTTTGTCTCCAGATGGAACCTGATCAGTAGCCTGTTGGTAGAGAGAGAACAGGCTAATCAGTGAGTTGCAGATAAACACAAGAAACAGAGACGGTTGATGAGACGATTTGAATAATTTACTACTGTGAAATACCGGTCACTTATAGGTTTTATAGCACAACAGGTCAGCCTGCGAAAAGGCTCCCGGTGAGAGCTTCGCTCTCTGAATTCTTCAGTTTTTCGTCCTCGCAAAGAGCCTATTCACAGGCTAGCAAAAGGTTGAAAACGATTGAGAAAAATCAGACAACAACAGAGACTTGTAAACGAGATTTGGGGAAATAATAAATTGAGACGCTTGTGGGCGATTTTGCTGGCTTTTCAAAGTTGTCCGAAAACTACCTTTCTCTTCTTCATGTCCATCTTGGCTTTTTTCTGCTCCACCTTCTTGGCGGCTTTTCTCTCAGCATTGGCCTGTTTTCTTTTCTCTTGAGCTTCTTCTTCAGCTTTTGCACGCGCAACTTCTTTTTCAGCAACCTTTACGAATAAATTAACCGATTAATCACACTCTTTTTTTTAAATTTAAACATTCTTTAATACATCTTTGCCCCAAGACCTTACAGGGTTCATCTAGAGGAATTGCACCTACATTACTCCTAAATAAACATACTTTAATAAGTTGTCCGTCAGTCAGTCCGTCCACCTGTCCGTCCGTCCGTCCGTCCGTCAGTCAGTCAGTCAGTCAAGCAGTCAGTCAGTCAGTCAGTCAGTCAGTCAGTCAGTCAGTCAAGCAGTCAGTCAAGCAGTCAGTCAGTCAAGCAGTCAGTCAGTCAGTCCGTCATTCAGTCATTTTACCACAAGCTTATTAGGGAAGCTTTCAAATTCACCTTTTGTCGTCTTTCATTGACTCTTAAGAGCTGTACACGGCACCTTGAAAATGCTGCATCCCAATCGTCTAATGTCCCTAAAGAAAACAAACTACATGTCGAGCTCAGANATAGTAATAGTAATAGTAATAGTAATAGTAATAGTAATAGTAATAGTAATAGTAATAGTAATAGTAATAGTAATAGTAATAATAATAATAATAATAACTAATTTCTAAGGGCCACACAAAAAAAAAGAACTTGGCTAATATCCAGCCATCTTGACCTCGGACTTGGTCAATAACCCACATACCTTCACTCCAGTCATCAACTCGTCTTCTCATGTAATCACAATAACTGTGCCACAACTGAAGATAATCATCACTGACAGTGAATCCACACCCCAGGGCAGTGTCGAGAGTTTCTGAAACAATACAGGGAACAACACATCCAGTGGGACAAATGCATCATTTTTCACTTACAGGTACATCAGAGAGGGCAGTAGTGACTACTCAGTAACTGAGAGTGAGGTCTTTGCAAGAAAATCTCAAATCGAGACCTTGCTGTATTAACCAAGCAATGGTGAAGTCAATACAGCAAGGCCAAGATGCAAGATTTTCCCGTAAAGACTGAACATTCAAGGTTAATAAGTTATTTCTTACATGGACTTTTTGCTTCGTTTTTGGAGGCCCATAATTGGCCTGTGGGCATTATGGGAGAATAATGCCCTAGAATTAGCCAATCAGAGTGCATGTTATATCAGCTTCAAACACAAGCCATGTGATAAAACATTTCACTGCGGTTTAACTCTTCATAACAGACACAATCTCGTGCCTTCTTAAGGAGATTGTGACACACTGTAATGTCTGTTATGGTGTCTTGATGTAAGTGTACTCTTACAACATTTGCTGACTCCAGAAAAATATGACAATGTTTCATTTTTGGACGACAACCATACCAATTCCATTATTACACTCTTAACATGTGGCATGATGATAAAAACCCCTGGGTTTGACCAAGTTTTAAGAATGGTAAATGGTATCACTGACTCAATTCTGTGAACTGTAGTGTCAATAATTATTGTTGCATCTGTGAGACTTCATTGGATTTACCCAAAGTCAATCAGGAAACAGCCCAAATACAAATAACTAGGCACAAAAGTGTAGCTCACATCATTCTACGTTTCTTTTCCTTTCACGGGTTGAAATGAGCCAAATAAATTGCCCTGCTCCAAATGTATGGGTCTTCATAGCTTCATTTGTAGAGTACTGCAGTGCTAATTAAGACTGCTAAGGCAGAGGCCACAGGTTACTATATAATCCTGTTGAAGCCCCGAAATCTTTTTTTTTCAGGCTTAACTTGCAATTACATAAATAATATCGCAATAACAACTGCGAAGATCATGACATTATTAGTATTTTTGCAGTTTACATCATTCATTCACTAGCTTAGCACAATTTGGAAAAGAAAATAGCTTAAGTCCGGATCTAAGGGCAAACACACAAAAAAAATGGAAAACACACACATGCAATCAGTAGTATTTCTTTGTAAAGACAGTATAAACTACCCTCAGGCCAGTAATCCAGAAGATATCCTACCTTTAACTTTATTATTGTCCTGATTGTTACGTTCCTAACAGAAAAAGAAAGGACTGATTTCTTAGTACTATATAGTGTGGACCAATGAGAATTATTAGTTTTATAAGCTTGCATATAATTAGACAGGCAAATGTTCGGGAAGAACTGCTTTTGGCGACTGACATTTTCAACAAAAAAATTGGAAATACCTCAAAATGACTTCTACTCAGGTTGTTGGAACATCAGTTACCGACACAAATTTTGTTCAAGACTTCCCTAATTTGGACAATCACACTACACAAACTTGAGAACATAATTTATTGACCTGAATCTGCTTCAAAATGCCTGCTATTGGACTGGACTATTGGACTGGACTATTGGACTATTGGACTATTGGACTATTGGACTATTGGACTTAAGACAAAAAAAACATTCAGTTTGAATAAAGAAAGTTGCTGTACCAGTGCTCTGAGGTAATTCTGCCAGAGAAGAGACACCCAGGGACAGTTTCTAACAGCACGTTCATGGACTGGAAGAACCACTGATGTTATTTTAAGGGTGGAGTCCTGCCAGGTAAAGAACAATGTCAGCCAACCATGGAAAAAAAAACCCCAAGGGGTATATAGTCTCCTTCACAGCCCCTCTCCAAGAAGCACTGTGTGTTGAACCATGGTTGTGAGGGAGATTAACAGAGGGGTATCCACAAAACAAGTTGTAATAAACACAGTCATATCTCTCCACAATGGATACCTTGGGGACAGAGGTAAGTGGCTGTTGTAGAGAAGTGGCCATTATGGAAGGTAGGGGTGTAATATGATAACTGTTTTCTTTTTCAGGGGTGCAACATTTTTATTTTTAAAAAAATGCTTATTGTAGCATAACAATAAGTAAAGCAATCGAGATATATTAAGATATAGCTGCTGCCCTTGTCGAGAAGTGGCCATTAGTGAAGTTTTGACTGTAATTGATCACGTAATCAATATACTGCAATCAAGGTAGGACATACTTACTAAATAAGAGGTATACTCAGTCCACATGTCTCCCACAAGACAGTTTTCCTTCATGGCCCTTTCATACAAACACTGAATTCTGGCAGGATCACCTTTCTTCAGTTCATATTCCAGGTATGATTTAAATTCAGCAGTCTTTGGAGGTTGTGCTGAGCCCTACACAACACCAGATACAACAGCATACAAATGTGAAGGAGGAGGGATTGAAAATCATCACAACATTTTACAGTTGAATCCCACTATTTTGAACATTCAGGAGAAACGAGAAATAGTTCAAAATAACGAGAGTTTTTAAAAATAGCTGGTAGTAAATTACTGAAGGGCAAATCCAATGGAAATAGTTGTGAGTTTGAAATAACGAGGAATTTGAAATAACCAAGTTTGAACTAGCAGGGTCCAATGTATTTGTTTAATGTAGGATGTGTAGTGGACAAATGGTGCATCAGGCTTGATATAACAGAGGTTGTGGTAAAAAAACTGGTCAACCATTATCTGTCGGAATACATTAGTTTACAACTGGCTAATGAAAATAGAGGTTCCGGAGAAACAGTGTCTCATGGTGACTGTCAAGTATCTATCTTTGCCCAAGAGCAGCAATGGATGTCAGAAAATTGTTNTCAAAATACTTACCTCAACCCTTGCCCAGGATCTCTTCAGAAGATTGGTGGGATCCCCATCATTGCCAAAATCTACCAAGCAAATAAAGGAACAGATCTGAAATTCCAGTGCTTAAATTGGTAGACAAGGGGTTTCACTGTGCTGTTATAGAGACCAGTCAAATACATCCCACCAAGCCCTTGGTTGGAACTGCCCACAGCCAAGACAAGAGGAGAAGGGGAGTCTAGTTACATGACTGCAAACTCTATAAGCATGGCTCAACACAATTTGCATGTCCTGATAGAGAGGAAAAGAAGCTCACCAAAGATGGAAAAAATAGAATTTCTGCTAAGTTTGACATTTGTATATCAGGGAAAAAATTAACATCAAAATTGCAAGCTTTCATTCACATGTGTGGACTTGAAAGAATTTTATCTTTCATAGGTGAATTAGTTATGTCATTAGCAAGAGGATTGCCTCACCATGCTTGACTGTAATAATCACCCAATTCAACAACAGAGACCCTGAATACTAACTTACAGTTTTGTAAATATTCTGTTGCAGTTTTATAAGTCTCTCTGAGGTCTTTCACCTGTTGGCTATCTGCAGAAAGTAATAGTAATCTAATAATAATGATAACGATAATGATAATGATAATGATAATGACAAAGATAATGATAATCAGAATAATAATAATAATAATAAAACTAATTTGTTAAGGGTCACACAAAAAAAAAAGAACTTGGCCAATATCCAGCCATCTTGACCTCATGTTTGGTCAATAACCCATATACCTTCACTCCAGTCATCAACTCGTCTTCTCATGTAATCACAATAACAGTGCCACAACTGAAGATAATCATCACTGACAGTGAATCCACACCCCAGGGCAGTGTCGAGAGTTTCTGAAACAATACAAGGAACAACAATCCAATGGGACAAATGCATCATTTTTCACTTACAGGTACATCAGAGAGGGCAGTAGTGACTACTCAGTTACCGAGAGTGAGGTCTTTGCACAAAAATCTCAAATCAAGACCTCACTGTATTGACCAAGCAATAGCAAGGTCAATACAGCAAGGCCACTTGCATACAAGATTTTCCCATAAAGTAGCATAGCACGATTTGGAATAGAAAACAGCTTAAGTCCAGAATTAAAGGGCAAACACAAAAAAATGGAAAACATGCACATGCAATCAGTAGTATTTCTTTGTAAAGACAGTATAGACTATCCTTAGGCCAGTAATCCAGAAGATATCCTACCTTTAACTTTATTATTATCCTGATTGTTACGTTCCTAACAGAAAAAGAAAGAACTGATTTCTTAGTACTACTAAATAGTGTGGACCAATGAGAATTATTAGTTTTCTTAGCTTGCATATAATTAGACAGGCAGATGTAAGGGAAGAACTGCTGTTGGTGACCGACATTTTGAACAGTAAAAATTGAAATGTCTCAAGATGACTTCTACTCAGGTTGTTGGACCATCAGTCACCAACACAAATTCTGTTCAGACCTAATTTGGACAATCAACTTACATGTGCTTACTAATCACACTACAGAAACTTGAGAACATTTCCTAACCTGAATCTGCTTCAACATGCCGGCTATTGGACTGGAGTATTGGACTACTGGATTATTGGATGGACTATTGGATAGGACTATTGGACTATTGGACTATTGGACTAAAGATAAAAAAACACATTCAGTTTGAATAAAGAAAGTTGCCGTACCAGTGCTCTGAGGTAATTCTGCCAGAGAAGAGACACCCAGGGACAGTTTCTTACAGCTCGTTCATGGACTGGAAGAACCACTGATGTTATCTTAAGGGTGGAATCCTGCCAGGTAAAGAACAATGTCAGCCAACCATAAAACAAAACGAAAACCCAAGGAGTATATAGTCTCTTTCACAGCCCTTCTCCCAGAAGCACTGTGTGTTGAAAAATGGCTGTGAGGAAGACTACCTGAGGGATATCCACGAAACAAGTTGTAATAAACACAGTCAAATCTCTCCACAATGGCTACCTTGGGGACAGAGGTAAGTGGCTGTTGTAGAGAAGTGGCCATTATGGGAGGTAGGGGTGTAATATTTCCAGGGCTATAACATATTTTATTTTTAAAAAATACTTCTTGTAGCATATCAATAAGTAACGCAATCAAGATATATCAATACAACAAAAAGAAAGACCAATGACAAGGAATACCAATCAAGTTTCATTACCTATTCCAATTAAAAAGGGATTTTGTATACACCACTTGTCATTCATTGATCAACTGACTGTTGTTGAGAGGTTATTTTGCCAATTGGGATGTGTTTTAGAGGCTGTTGCCCTTGTGGGGAGGTGGCCATTAGTGAAGGTTTGACTGTAATTGTCACGTAATCAATATATTGTAATAAAGGTAGCGACATACTTACTAAATAAGAGGTATACTCAGTCCACATGTCTCCCACAAGACAGTTTTCCTTCATGGCCCTTTCATACAAACACTGAATTCTGGCAGGATCACCTTTCTTCAGTTCATATTCCAGGTATGATTTAAATTCAGCAGTCTTAGGAGGCTGTGCTGAGCCCTACACAACATAAGATACAATAGTATAAATTGTGGTGGAGGAGGGATTGAAAATCACCACAGCATTTTACAGTTGAATACCGCTATTTTGAACTTTCAGGGGAAACAAGAAAAAGTTCAAAATAACGAGAGTTCAAAATACCTGGTAGTAAATTACTAAAGGGCAAATCCAAGTGAAATGGTTTTGAGTTTTAAATAATGAGGATTTCAAAATTACTGAGTTTGAATTAGCGGGGTCCAATGTACATGTATATATAATGTAGGACAATACATAATGGTGGACAATTGGTGCAGGCACATCAGACTTGCTTTAAACAGAGGTTGTGGTAAAAATACTGGTCAACCATTATCTCTCAGAATGCATTAGTTTACAACTGGCTAATGAAAATAGAGGATCCAGAGAAACGGTGTCTCATGGTGACTATCTTTGCCCAAGAGCACAAGTGGATGTCAGAAAATTGTTGCTAGGTCGGTGCAGGGGGGGATTACTGTGCAAGCGAAGACTCTTTCAATCTTCCAAGAAAAATCGAAGGAGACTCTGCTTGCGGGGTAGGATGGGAATGGTAATCACTTGACAAAGTACTAGGGTGGGGTGGCGGGTGGTAAATGGTGGAGAAAACTGGAGATGATTGGCCACTAGGCAAGAATAGAGTCCCACGACTTACCAGTGTATCCTCAAATGGCAGGCATTCTTCTAGTTTTGCTAAGGCCTTTTCATAAGCTATCATTACAGCATCAGGAACGGAGTCCTCTAGCCAGTCTTCAAACTCCCTCAAAGTTGCCTGCATACCTTATAAGAACCAAGGGGTATATCATTGTAACACAAAATAATTTATTGGCTACAGAAGTGACTGGACACTCAATCTTTATCATTTTCAATTACATAAATCAAATATACAATTGTGAGTTCTGTGAGATATTGCCCAAGCGTACAAATTCTGTACAACATGTATATAGTTCATTACTCCTTTTTGTTACTGGTAACTTTCCTATGCTTCCTCCATGTCTAGTGGGAGAGGAAACTTAAAGAGTATCTGCATAGAAGGCAAAGAAGTCCCTCACTGGTTTTCCTGAAATACTTGGGAACAATGCCTCTGTTTATATGCGACTGATTGCCATAATTTAAAAAAGATACGCTACATACATTCCACAAGAAAGAAGCCTCAGTCATCTCAAGGGATACATATACAGCTTTTTTGAGAAAGGTTTTCCTAGTTGTAAACTAAAGTGTACGTGGTGATACTAAAAGGTGCTCTGGGTAGTTATTTTTCCACTACTTGGCTGAAGTTCGTGGTGTTTCAGCCCAAATGAAAGACAGACATTATAGTCTATCCATGCTTTCTCCTACCATTGCACTACTTAAGACAGTGTGAACTATGATCAAGCAGTGGAAAACACAACTACCCAACCATTGAGAATGATATTATGTCTTTTTAAGCCCCTGTACTCAAAATTGTTAGCAGAAATTATTAAATTAAAGTACATGAAGTGCAAAATAGTGTCACTGATAAACTCTTCAGTACCTAGAAGAGGAACAGCTAGTTGTCTTTTAAAGAGTGACATCACTCTTTCCTTTTGAGAGGAACTGTGAAAAAAGATAAGCTCTACTGGTAAGTCTTACATGTATCTGGTACAAGACCTATTGTATTACACAAGTTCAAAAATGTATAGTGGATATTAAATTTTTTTATCACCTCATCAAACCCTGGCTACAGCCCTTTCAGAGCCAATATTGAATTCTTTTGGAAAATTCATAACTTTACTGTTTTATTCGAGGTTTTTTTCTCCCTGAAATATTTTCCAAAAATCTCATTTTATCCAGGGTTCATGGGACAGTGCCCTTTTAACCAGCATACATTTCTTGACATAATAATTTCACTGTCTTGTATGAGCATGTTTTTCTCTGCCCTGAAACGCAAGTCTTAAACAAAGTACACCCTTTACCTACGTGTAGACTTCATGGGATGAAACTAACTTACATTTTCTCCGTCATGGTCTCTTTGTTTTCCTCTGTCACCATTTGCTGTTCAAATCAAGAACAAACTAAATAAATCAATTTCAATAAAATAAATAATGGAACAACAGAGAAGACTGAAATTATTGTTCTATCTATCCATGGAGGATCACTGCTAACAAAAATTACATCACATCAAGGCAAGTCTCAATTCCAAATCTTGTTCAGAAAATTAAGCTCTAAGATTTTCTTATCCATCACTACAACTGGGTAAGTAAAGGGACAACATAAAAGAACACAAACATGGTAAAAAAGTGTTTAGAAATCTTATATACCGGCATACATGTAAGCACTCACCTCAAGGGATTCCAAAATGTCTGTCTCAAACTCCCTATAACCTTCCCATATTGATGACCCCTAAAAACAAAAAACAAGTGAATACAAAGCTTAACTAAAGATACAGTGTAGAAGTTTCAGTCCCTCTTCATTCTCCTAGTCATCCTGATCTAACTTATTGTACTTCCTTCAAGTTTAACTAGGTCCTTCAACAGCTTCGTTTCAATTTTCTTGCTACAAAGTCAAGGATAAATACATCTATCAGCCACATTATACCTCTGTTACATGCAGCCCAGCAGCAATGATAGCTTTTTCAAATGTTGATCTCACACCCTGGAGGCTGTCTTCACCTTCCATAATGTCCATCATAAACTGACAATACAGGATCCAAACTCGCACAGCTGTAAGGATTGCAATAAAGAAATGGTGACAGAGAGTGAAAAACTAATCTAACCCTGTCCAAAAAATATAACAAATCTAGGCACACAAAACCTTTGTTAAAACTATTTCAAAATATACCCTTCAGGTTCATGGCATGATCTAGTGCTGCCTAGAAAGAGACCCCAAGGGTACTTTAATACTGCCTTTCTAAATATTTCTAAATATTATTTAAAGTTGTACTGTTAATTTCTGATATCCAATGTTTGCTGAACACTGTATGGAACAGGATTGTATCTTTAAAAGACAATTTTTTTTTACCTATTGGTTCAGCATCAAACTTTTAAGTACACAGTGTACTTTTAACTCCAAAGTATTGTTACTATGAGATGTGTTCTGATTTCTTCTTTGTAAAGAAGTAAAAAAACATATACACTAAGAAGAATAATATCAGGGTTAACATAGGTATCAGATCTCAAAGAACTGGACTCNGTGGGGTAAGTCTCTGCAGTTACCATATATTCTGATGAAGCAAAATTTTGACGCAATATGGTCTATGATCTTGTAAGTGACCACCTCTTGGGGGTGACCACCTAAGCTTGACATTTGGGTTGGTTGCTAATGGGAGGTTTGACTGTAGCTAACATACACCAATTTCTTTGCATGCTGATAAGTGCCCATGTAAGAGAGGTGTCTGCTTAAGAAAGAAGATTGTAGCATTTTTATGTGTAGTGTTCTTTAAGGATATGTCCACTAACAGGTATCCATTAACAGGGGTTTGACAGCATTTTATCAAAAAACATTACTTTACCTTCTGTTAACGGGAAGAGCTTGCTCATACCCTCTCTTGCATTCCTCACTTTGTCGAGGTCACCAGACTGTCTGAGAAGTTTGATGAGTTCAACATGAGAGTCATAGTGATATGGATTGCCTGCCACCTGAAAATGTAATAATTGACATGGTACTTCAAACTGATTGATTCGTTAAATAAACACATGATAAAAGATATTAATGTTACCCATGTGTTTAACGGGAACCAGGTTCGCACGGATCACCTCATGGGCTAGTCCATGGAACTGGGCCACCACCGTAAACCTGGTTCACATGAACCACCTCATAGATAGCCTGCATGGCAGGCGTCCGAAGGGGAGTGAAAGTCCTGTGCTCAGTTTGACCTTTTCCCTCTCCTTCTACAGCCTGCCACGTAGGCTACCTCGTAGACTGGTCCATGGACCCTGTCCACGGGCCACCCCTGTGAGCCTGGTCCACATGGACTACCTCATAGACTTGTTTATGGACCTCCTAATGGATCCTGTCCATGGACCACCCATGTGAACCTGGTCCATGGACCTAAAGTTAGTCCACCAAAATTTTCAAAGGCAAACTTTACCTGTCATTATCAGGGTCATAGACGGGTAAGGATAAACAATAACAAAGGAAACAAGCCTTCTCTCATCCCTATACTATATCACGACCTGCTTGTTTACACTTCACAACCCTAATTCTAATCCTCTTGAATACAACATACAACAAGTCAGGTTAAATAAAAATATAATGTGCTGGACCCTAAACAGTTACAAAACAACACGGCCCCTATATCACGAAAAATACTAGCATTATGAAACATTACTGCAACTATAGTTTGACTGAAGTTTATTAAATTCTGACAGCTGTTCACATGTGCGCGCACACAGGGTGAGAAATAGTCGCAGAAATGCATGAAGTACCTGAAGCTCGAGCTGTTGGACTTTTGGGTCATGAACTGCCTCGTTACCATCGGACGCGTCAGAATCCGAACTGTCACTTTCTTCGCCGGCACCCTCATCCATGTTTTCTTCAGTCTCGTTCTCGTCAATCGTTTCACTTGCGTTTCCATCGACTTCCATCTTCGTATTTTCCGCCATATTGGAACTGTGAAGAAGCAAAGGTTTGTGGGTAAATTTAATATAAAAGCCTGCGATACACATTGATAGAGGAAGCGGGTGGAGGCAAATGAGTATGCGCAGTTTTTTACTAGTATTCCGTAAAAATATAGGAAAAATTTCTGCCAAAACTTTTGGACATGGGGCAACATGGCCGACTGGCAGGAAAATTTTAGCTCTCCCGTTCTGGGAGAAGAAGAAACTGTGCTAGCCATTCGTCTTGCCGAAGCTCTCCGAACCGATGAAGTTGAAACCTTCCTCGAGATTTACGATAGTATTCCTTCTACGACAGAAACCAAACGAGTGAGTATTTTAATAACAAGCTTACTACAAGCAGTCGGTTTTTGTAGTTGAAATCCTTCGCGCGATTGGAAAAGTTAGAAATTATGCAAACTCGATCGTTCTGTTTTTTCCCTTCGCATTCGTGTATTTGCCACGCTAAAAAAAGAAAGAGACCGTTCGCAGTCTATAGTCTTGACTTGGGAGAGTTTACGCGGTTGCCATGTGAACAACCCGAACAAAATCTTTTATCGCCTTTTTTTCGCCGCCGACATGAATGTTGAGTGACAGAAGTTGATTTGGTGTTGAAATACTCCACATTTGATCCGTTGTCATACCGTCTGACCAGTTGCCTGGTGGCAAAATTTATGCAATTTTGGACATGTGACCATCTTTTCGGGTGGATATTATGCAATCCTAGTAATTCCTTACCCAATATACACGTCCCCGATCCGAATTTAGAAACGTGGACCCAAACGTCACACAAGGTCTTATATGCAAGACTAGCAAGTTTGATATCCTGTATCGTCAACGTTCCGTTGTCGCCAGTTAACATCAGACTCCAACCTTGTTAGTCAAAATTCCGATTTACTCAGACGAACTCAGCTTAATTACAGTACGTGGGCTCTCGCAGTACATTTCCGACGGACCTTTAATTCGAGCGACCCACTAACACGTTAATGTGGATTGAAGGTAAAATAATTTTCTCCGTTTTATTATTTCAACTCCAGAAGATGACGATGTCAGACCTTTTTAGAAATCAAACTGTTTGATTTATTTCGCAGTTCGCTCTGCAGTTTTTCACACAAAATGTGTACTGTTCAGTTTGCGGGACACGGTTTGGGCAAGTGATGTGACACACGTTGCGATTTAGGATAGATGATTCCACTGTTACAATCCGAAAAGGGAAGCTGAAGTAGACATAACATTTCGTGACCAGATATTCTATTTCTCCCTTATGTTTTACGAAATTGCCGTAGCTTACTTCATTTCGACAAATCCTTGCATAATGTATAGCTTCGACATGCGTTTTGGATATGGAGCTTAACATTACAATAGAACAGGATATTCCTTCACTTTCGCACATGTTCCACTGCACGAATCGTTAAGCATGCCGATTAGTTTTCCATTGAAGTCCTAATGCCATTATTTGTTCAATATATTCACTCTAAATCTCGGCAAGACTTTTTGTAAAAACACCAGGCGTTTCTCAAATCGGTTGTGTTTTCTCTGCTTAGTCTTGTACTTTAGGCAATTTGATATGGCATCCGTACATAATTTACGTTGGCCAAATATTGTTTGTTCATTGACTTTGTTTGGTTTGTTTGTAGAATCGTTAGGGAAATTTTTCACCCGAAAATACAAAATTATTTTGTCATAGGGTGGTGTTGTCTGAGGTCGAATTGTTTAGTCTTCACGAAGTTGCTTCAGTACAAAGATTACATCATCTTGCTAGAAGTATATTGTTTATCTTATTTATCCTTTCTCAAAGTTTATGAGGAAAAATTGTTGAATTGTGACATTGTCGGATTATTTTTGCTTATAATGTTAACAGTTTAACTTCAAGCTCCCTCGAAAATTTTATGTGATTATGGTTATGTAATCCCTGGCTCAATAAACGAAACCAGACAATTGGAAAAGTCTGTCTGGATAAAACTGACTAACAGCAAACCATCAACGTGGCTTGATTAATATAGGTCTTCAATTTACATTGTGATTGTTTTAAACCCTTACCATTCCAATATTAAAAAAACAAAATTACAGATAATTCGACATAAAGTTTCTTTGATATTACTTCTAAGAGTCTGATGGTACATGTATACACCAAGGTACCACTGCAATATCTCTTGCAAATTATACATTCATGGTTTTTGTACTCATCTCTTGAGCATGTCTGCTTTTGCTCATATGGTGTTTGGTAATTTTAAGAATGGGTAAGATCTGAAATAATTGTCTTTTATATTGACATGCATATTTTAAAAGTAAGAGTCAAAGGTGGCTTCAGGTCTACGTAATTACCACTCTGAGCTCATTTGAAATACAATGCACCAATTTAAATGGAATTCAGAAAAAAAAGTACTCCGTAGTTTCAGATAGTAAAATGTTTGTTTGCTTTTTCTCATGCTTGTAGTTTCAGGTTAATTTTTAATTACACATGAGCAAACATAAAATTGTGTGCAGGCTTGACATTTTTTATATTAATTATTGATGAAAGAAAGTAAAGGAAATGTACATGTTGTGTTCTTCTTGAATTGTTGGAGAGAGAAATGGGTTTGTACCAAATTAAATATTGTCGCCCATACTCCGTGATATCAGAGCCATAATATATTCTAGGTCTTCCACCCCTGAAAAGTAATTTACATGATTACAGAGTGGCAGAGGTACTATGACCAAACAAGTCCTACAAAGGAATATAAACGACATGCAATGCATGCAGAAGTGCTGACGTTTAAAAATTGTTCCTGGAAGATTGGAACATGAGCAGACAAACTGATTCTTAAACTTTTGGGTGAGAAATTTTGAGTGGTTTACATTTAGGGTAGTCCATTGGTGGTTCATTCAAGTAGTTCATGTACCAGGTCCATCTTGTTAGTCCATGTGCTAGGGCTCAGCGAAAAGTACCAACCCAAATAAAAAGCACTCCACTGAAAAGTTCCTTTCTCTGAAATCAACACCTTATTATCTTTAAAGATATTTAGCAAAGCTAATTACCTCACTGGAAATTAATTTGTTGTTTTAACCATATACTTGTCCAAGAGAAAATCATTTTCTCT